GGATCGCGCCAGCACGTGACCCCGCTTTCAAACAGCACTGGAAGCGCAGGGACTATATAGCTATACCCTTAGGTGCCTCTGCCAACGAATGCGAAGTCAAGTATTCTCTTTCCCTAGCACTTGCAGTGTTAGACCACGCTGTTCCGTGCTTATTATGCCAATTCAAGCTGCAGCTCCGACCTAACGAAGACCAGGGACGCCAGGTCATGCGTATTCCGCACGATCCCAATGCATACCTAGACCCGTCGGCCAGACAGCTTTTTGAAGACACTTTCTCGCCTCCCCCTGAAACTTTAACTTTTGACCTGCATGCCTCCGACCACGCGCTCATATTAGACAGGGAGGCGCGCAACGCCATGCTACAGGCATTTCCCCAACCCCGCACATCTACAGGTCGCGCGCCTTCCAATTCCCGCGTCTCCATGGCCACCCTTAGGCTCATGGATGCCAGAGCTTTAATTGTCAGCCAAGCCGACACGCTTCAACAGGAAGCACGCAACCTTTTCCTACTGGCAGCTATCGCGGCATGGAAGCGATATGTGCGATCCAGGCAAGCATTTACACGTCCTAAAGCGGCATTGCGACATCACGAAGAGCTCTCGCTGATGCCCGCAATCAATAATGCTTTTGCCAAACTTGCGGAGCTCGGCGCTGCTCTCCGCGGCATGCGGGCCAGCATGGCTGACCCTAATGCCTCCATTAAATGGAAGCCCAGAATTCGCATGGCCTGCTTGTATCAGTTTCTAGCATCCTCGCCTACTCGCGTTGCTAAAACCCGTTTCCCTCATGCTTGCTCTGCGCCTACCATAGGTACCGCACACGCGGCTGCCATCCAGCTACGCGCACGCGCAAGCGCCATCAGGGCCATCGTCCTTGCCCAATTCACACAGGCAGTACGGTGCTCAGTCGACCTGGATGCCGCCTTTCACCTACAAGGCATTGCTGCCGAAGTTCACGAGGCATGGCAGACCTCACAACAACGCACTGCCTTTGCGCGCTTACGCACGTTGGGCGTGGGCTCCAAAAAGAAGTTGCGCTCCTCTCCCCTACCTATCCTCTCCACGGCAGCGGGCACCTTCGTGGTGGACGCCACCCAAGCGGCCGACACGTGGCTGTCCCATTTTGCTCGACAGGAGCATGGCGCGGTTATTCCGCTCAAACATGCCAAGGCCTACGACGCTAGTGCATCGTATCTACCCGCTGACCTTACTGTGGATATTCCCCCTCCATACTCCCTCTTCTCCCTAGCGCAAATCGAGCGCGCCTATGCCAGAACCCCAGACTCGGCAGCCAGTGTGGATGGCTTCAAAGGAGCCTTTGTCAAGTCGTTTCACCGTCTACTTGCGAAGCAGTA